AAACAAACAAGTACAGGCAGAAATTAGTGATATGACCCTTGAAATTTAAAAAAAAAACAAAACTAGCTTTTTCCTGAGGATATTCCCTTTTTTGATTCAATGGAGAAGATATATGGGTCAAGCAAAAAGCCTCAGTCTTATATAAGAGGAAACAGAAATAAGAATTCAGAGCTGTTGACATTGAGATGCAAATCCAGGAAGGAAGGACCTACAAGGCTCCCAAATTTTAAAGACCTAAATTAGAACAAAAAGAATCCTCCAAGCCTTGTCTAAATTGTGATCTGCAGAGGGAAAAACAAAAACAAATACAGCAGGAGAATAAGAGCTACAAGATTTCAGCAACATGCTGATGCAGAGTTTGCAGTTAAATTCTCACTATAATATAGGCGTTTAGAAAACATATTGAACTATTATTAGAAAGTCCATACCTTAGTAATAAGATCCACAAAATAGACTAACATCTATGCTTTAGAACTACAGAAAGACACACAAACAGATTTTTCCTAATGTGTCTTCCACAGGACTCAGGTGATTTTTAAGTAATTTTTCTGTCTGCTGAAATTAAATGCAACATTCTTTACTAACCAGAGCCTCTAAAATATATTTAACACGATATCCAGCCTACAATAAAATAATTTTTTAATGAAAAGGGAAAGTAAATATAAGTACATCCTCAGATGACTAAGATGTTAGAATTAGGAAACAAAAATTTTAAAATGAGTATTACAAATACATTAATTTATAGCATTTTATATATGTATAAATACATACACATTTACATATATAAACCCATGCATGTTTATATAACTCACATACATATAGGTTTATACAAATATTTGTATCTATATACCTACTTATACACATGGTAAAAGAAGTGAAATTTCAGGAAGGATATTGAAACTTGAAAAAACAAAATAAATATCTTAAAATTAAAAATGAAGTCTCTTTGGGGCCTAGGGAGTAGCTTAATGGGAAAGTGCATGTTTAGCATGCATGAGGCCTTCCCCATCACCAAAACTTTTTAAAAACAAAAAAGAGTATTTAATAAGATAATTCATAATTAGATTTCACAAATGCATGGACACAAAAATATCAGTGAACAACTGAGGAATAAGAGGAGGAAGATTAAAAAAATAAACAAAGGCTCAATAACATACAGAACGATGTCAAGAGGCCTTTGTACATTTAACTGAAGTCCCAGTAAGAGACATGAGAATGAGGTAGAAAATTATAAGACATAATGGCTTAAAAGTCCTCTAACTATCAGACAAAATGAAAAATCGTAATTATAAAATCATGTCTCTTTTATCTTCTACCTCTTAACAGCATCATTTTGGATTTATCATAATGATACAATGGTTTCTTTCCATTCATTTTTTTTCTAAAAACTAGTGGACATAAAAATATAATAAAAATGATGCTCTCTACCTTAACAATCAAAGTTGTGATAACATTATATTCTGAGTAAAGAATTCACATTTGAGAAGGCAGATGAATTTGGCTGATAGAATGAAGAATGAAATTAAAAGATGGAATATATGTTCATTGTGATGAAAATGGTTAATAACTTCAAATAATAAATTTGTAAATAACTTCTGTCATGTTAAAAAACTTTTTCCTCAAGACACTACAATTTTATCTGAATAACAGTAAATAATATATAACAAGAAAAATTTAAACATCAAAATAATATTCCAAAACAATCTGTGTGAAAAGGTAATGAAGTTTCAGACTAATGAATAAAAAGAAAAGTTATGTTAATATTTGAGATATTTCACCATCTTGAAAAGCAGCTCCACAAATTTATTAATGCAAGTTAATTATCTGAACTCTGAGTCTTGAGTAGAAATTTTCAAAAATGCTTAATCAATCACTGTTTGAAATATGCACTGCTCCAACAATTTTTTAGCAATGACTAATTTCTTTCAGACTCTGTAGGAATGACTCTGTGACCATTTCTATAGATACTTGAATACATGAAATAATATTCTTATTTTGTTATATGCAAGAATACTGATGTAACATGAAGCTAGCTAGAGTGTACCAATCTTTTAATGTGGAAGATCATTCAATGTTTATAAAAGTTTCCTGGAGTCTTCATCTCAAATTCTAAAAATATTTAAATTATCAATAAGATACATAAAATGATTACTTTTAGAATGATTTTTACTATTTCCTTATATATTAATAAGAATTATAAATTACTAATATTCATGTAAATAATATACTGCTTTAAATCACTTGAATCTATAAATTTAAAATAGAAATTATGAGTGAAAAGAAAGTAATTTCAACATTACCATTTCTTCATTTTAAATTCCAATAAATATTTATGTACATTAAATGAACTCATAATGATATTCATAGTATTGTAGGTTGGATTACAAAACACACTATAATGTAAATGTAGGGAATACATGAATGATTGTAACATCCACTTTTTTTTTGGATTGTAACTTTTCATACATGTTGAATCAAGTATGTTCATGATCATGATCTTTGCCAACATGTAATATACTCATAGATAAATGCAATATTACTCTCTCCATGGGGGAAAAACCCTAAAGGAGGTTCATGTCACCAAAGAAGTTTTAAAATTAAGATATTTAAACTTTAGAAAGGGCAAAGGGGAGAGAGAGAAAAGAACAGGGCAAAGGGGTAGGAATGATGGTGGAATGAGTTAGACATTATTACCCAAAAAAGCTAATCCCAAAAAACCAAATTACCAAATGTTTTCTTTGATATGTTGATGCTAATTCATAATGAGAATGGAGGGTGGAGCATGAGAGTAATGGAGAAACTTAAGATAGGGAAAAAGGGAGGGAGGGTTATGGGAGTAAAAAAGATGGTGGAGTGAGATGGACATCATTACCCTAACTACATGTAAAAGACACAAATGGTGTGAAAATATTTTGTGTACAACCAGTGTCTTGAAAAAATCATGCTCTATATGTGCAATATGAAATGAATTGCATTCTGCCATCATGTATAATAAATTAGAATAAATTAAAAAGATATTTATCCATATCCGTACTTGTACCTGCCACTTATGATCAACATATATTTAGCCAATGATAAAGTTTTTAATATTTTTTCAATTGTTAAATGTTATTTCCTATTCATTATTCCTTTTATGTGTATGTACATGTTTTTAAATCTCCTTAGGCCTATACATTGCTTATAAACTGTCAGATGTTAGTTGTAGTAAATGACAATATAATACAATGCATGGAGCAATTATGTTGCCCAGGAGCAAATATAGTACTATTGATCAATAAATAATAAAAAAGTCATTTTAGTAATGGAAAAATATTAACAGCTTCAAGAATAATTAAATTAATTGCAGGAAAATCCAAGACACATACAGTAACCTAGAAAATACCTCATTGTTTCTTCCATCCACTATTCCCAAATGACTAGGGAGAAAAAAATTAATACTCTCTTTTAAAAGTTTCAGGTATTGACAGTCCTCAAACCTACTAATTATTGCTATCATAAGTGGAGTAGGTGGAAAAAAAAAGCCAGTCCTATAAGAAAGGATAGTGATGATTAGCATGAGTAGCCTAGAAACTAAAACTATAAGAACTAGTACATAACAGCTTATACTTGTTATGTTCAACCCATTATCCTACAGGGTGATTTAGAAAGAATGAATGGAAAAGATGATTGTGGCCAGAAAAAATAATATTAGTTTCACAAAATCTGTTACATTTTTATAATTATTCCAACCAATGGTGTTGTAAGGGAACCTACAAATATGGGTCAATGGTATTTACTGTATGGGGAGTCTGAAAGTGAGTAGGGTAGCGCTATTATTCAATTAATACCATTCAAGTGTATGAGATTACATTTAGTAAAAATAAAACTCCAATCAACAGATTATTTTTAAAGAAGCAAAATATTTCTTTAGGTGTTGCTGTGACTAACTAAATATTCCATAAGACCAATCTTCTGCTCTTAATTCTATACTTATCATTATACACATAATTTAGCCCCCCCATTCACCAGGAAGGTTTAATCCATTATACACAATAGTTAATTGTTATGGTGCCAGGTACCTTGCCATAATTAATAAATGACACAGCATTTGTGCTAATAAGTGGACATTTCGGAATTTTAGTTAATGCCAATTGGTCTTTCAGTATTGGACAAAAAATGTTGCTAAATCAGATTCCGTGAAAAGTAAACTACTCCATGAATACTATCCAAATCAGCAATTATCTACCTTATCTTTCAATAATAGATTCATTAGAATCTATTATTGTGAGTGCAAAGAGCCAACAATGTCACTTTTCAATATAGAAAAATTTTATGAGGTTATGTTAAACTTCTCTGGACTGATGCAATTATATTAGTCAGACTATATATAATCCAAGGTAAAATCTAAACACTAATAATCATAACAAGAACAATGACAATAATATCAGTTTATGTTCTTGAAATTAATTCATTCTTCTAACCACCTGGTAAGGTAGGTATTATTATTTCCATTTATAAATGAGGAAGCTGAGGCATAGAGAGATCATCTGCCTCAAGTTATTCAACTCAAAAGTTTAAGAATCAAAATTTAAACTCAGCCTGAAATTAAAGTTCATAATTTCAAACAGTATGCTATACTTGCTACCAATAATAGGCATAAAATACTTGAGACAATGAAAGTGAAAATCACTAATTTGAGTATCTACAGCTACACAAACTCTACTTTATTAGCTATATCATCCCTATATTTAAGATTCTAAGAATAAGGATTTAAACATAACTATACTTATTTAGTCCACAGCATCCAAAATAGAATGATTAAGCCCTTAAATACTGTGATGAGTAAAAGCTATAGGTATAACCTTATGTTACTGTCTCAAATAATTGAAAAGCTTTAATAGTAGCTATGAAAACACTAACAGATACTTCTTAATACCCATAACTAGAACTTTAAATTCAGTCAGAAATATGCTCAAGATTAGAAAAACTCAATGAAAGAACACATTTTGCTGAAAACTTACTTTGCAACCTCCGCGTTGGGCTCTCTCCATGGAGTTGTCTTCGTGGCATATACGGAGAAGGATGGGGAAGTGGCAATGAAGAGACATCATGGGTCTGAAGTTTGTACCAATGTGGTTCATCATCTAATAATGCTGTTTCTAATTCAATTAAAATCTAAAAATACAAGAGACAAAGGACTGTTATAATATGCCAATAGTAAGGAAATTCTCCTAAGTGGTCTTTTAACTTTTATAATAACTATAATAGTAATACTGTTAAATCAAAACCAAAATCATTTATATGGCATTTTCCAGTAAATAGATGGAAATGGAGAATATCATGCTAAGTGGAATAATCCAGGCTGAGAACATAAAGGGTCAAATGTTCTCTCATATGTGAAACTAAAACAAAATAAAGAAGCAGGGATCAGATATCATAAAGATAGAGGGAAGATCAGTGGATATCAAGAAAGAGAAGAGGGACAAGAAAGGAAAAGTAAGGCAGAATAAATTTGACAAAATTAAGTTATGTGCACACAAAATATGCCACAGGGAATTTCACCTATACTAGTGTGAATAGCACCAATCAAGGTTGGAAAAAATGGAGGATCAGTAGAGTGAAGGTAGGAAGGAGAGGGTGACAGGAACAGTGACTACAATGGAGTGGGTCATACCATGCATGTATGATTTTGTCATGATGAACTCAGCTACTATGTATAATTATAATGAAAGTAAGTAAGTAAATAACAAGGTAATATAGATATTTCAAAATTATCAATATATTTTGATAATAACTAAGATAATTCTTTCTAACTTCTTAGTGATTTAAAAGTTTTAAATATCTAAGATATTTATTTCATAGACCCTTCACTACCCAAATGCTAGAGGCTACTAAATTTGCCACGACATAAATAATACATTTTACTTTTAAAATGTCTGCAATAATAATGTATGCGCACATTATTTTCTAATTTAAAAAGTTTTCTTTTTTATCTTCACTAGTATAACCTCACTAGAATTCATAAATGAGGAGAGAAAAATTAATTTCAAGCACCTGTGTGTTAAGAACCATGCTTTATTTTCTATATCTTAATTGTCAGAAAAAAAAATCTACAATTTGATCTTACAGACCAGAATACCAAGACCTAAGAAAGATTAAAAGAACTTGTCTAAGATCACACCAGCCCATAAGAGAAAAAGGCAAAATGCATTCATTTGTCTTACTCAAAACTCTGTGTACACTGTACCATCACGCTAAGGATTAAAGTAACACTAAACATCACACTATACCTCATAAAAAAAGTACAATTATCACCTGTCAATTGAAAAAAAAAAACAGAAAAGGAAAAAAAGCAAGGAGCTTTTAATGTAAACCATATTATATGAATGTTTTTTAAATTGCAAAAGAAATCAGAATGTAGATATAAATTATTCTTTTACAGTGTTACATAATTTTGAGTGTTTGCACTTGTGTTAGTGAGACCTGCAACATAAAAATAAATTGCTGTACTATTTAGCTACAGGAATAAAGAGCAAAATGAGCAAGTTATTATTTCATGCTGTCCAAACTTTCCCTAATTATTTTTAGAATTGCATGCAGTATGTTCCAAATGTTTACACGCAGAGACACAAACAACATATTTATTTAATCCTCATATAAACCTTAGTTTGCCCAGTTTGCAGTATTATTTTCACTTGGATAAAGAGAAAATTGAAGCACAGCTAGGTTAAATAACTTGCTCAAGGATGCAAGGCCAGGAAGTGGCAGTGCCAAGTATGTAGACCTAGGCAGCTGGCTTCAGAATTTCCGCTCAGAACTGTATTACCCTTCTTCCCACATTGGTTTACTTTGGTTTCTTAGCTAACAACATTCATTTCTAAATTTCTGTTGACTATTGTTTTTCCCATGAGATTACCAATTAATTCACTCAGAAAAACCAAACACTGGAAAAGGCTGGAAAGTAGATAACTTAGCATGCTAATAGCTGGAGAACTGCTTCTTATGATGCTCCTCTCTAATATATTTATCACCTTACAATTAAACATATTTTTTCAAGTACAAAGACAATTGAGCCAGGCTTTTTTTGAAAGTTATCATTGGTTCCCATTATCCCAGGATAAATCAAAATTTAATATATTATATTAAATGATATGATCTGGTTTTAGTTTAACACACAAGTCTCATTTCTAACCACTTTTCCTTCCAATCTCAATGTGGTTGCCCCAAATTCCCTCAGCCTTGTTGTCTTGTTATTCCCTTGCAGGAATTTCACTTCTCTTGATTTTGCCACATTCCAGTTCTCATGGAACCTTCCTTTGACACTTCTGAAGTGTCACACTACTGAATTATGTATTCCTTTTGTAGTTTCCCTCTTTCAGCAGTTGGCGCGCTATATTATAATTGTCATTCAATTGTCTGAATCCCCAGTGCATTGTAAATTCCCTAATATGAAGTGACATGCCTTATTCATCTTTGAAATCTCAGACCTTAATACAGTGTCTTCTACATTAAAAACTAATCCATGAGTAAATGATTGAACTACTTACTAGTGGTACATTTGGTTCAATAATAAAATATACATGATTATATAAAGCAAAGCACTTTGTGAAATAGAAACATTCTATCATTCAACTGAGATCTCTGTAGTAAGAATAAGCAGTAAAAACTATCACATAATATTTATTTATTTATGCACATATTTATTTTTGAAATGGGGAGTCAGTATGTTGCTCTGATTAGCCTTGAACTCCTATGCCTTAGCTTCCCTAGTAGCTGGGAGTATAGTTGTGCACCATCACCAGCATGCTAAGCTTTAATAAAAAATAATTTAGAGCCATTGTTTTCTATGCTATCATTTTATTTTAAAGTAGTAAGTAGCAAAATTCATTATATTAAATTAAAAAATTATGCTTACTTATTCATGTTTGAAATATAAAAATTTACTCATAGTCATTTAGAATAACATAAATAATGTGAACTTTAAATAATTTCAGGTACCTCTCCTAAAAATTCACTTTCTTCCTCTCTAACTCGAGCTTGATCCCAAAGGGTAATTTCCAGCATTCGTTCTCGAAATTCTCTTCGATGAACTGGAGAATAAATGAATGTTTGGTTCCATTTGGGTTCCAATGTTTTTTTAACCGTTTTTGTTCTTCTCTTGTTTTTATCACTAGGAAAGAAAAGAATATATAAACTTATATAAAACCCTGTTCACCCTAAGATTTATTAATTTAAAATTTCTCAGGGGAGAAGTGAAATTCTATCACAAATTTGTCATACTGCAAATACTATTATCTTTAAAACATTTTTAAAATTTATAAGATGTATAATTATGCCATACTTAAAAGTATGACAATAATATCAGGAATTCAATTTTTTCCAAAGCCCAACAATTGAAAATATAATCTCTCAAAATGTAAATAAGATAAATAAATAAAAATAATGTAAATAATGGATAATCTTAACTCTAAATTTTTTTAACTTATTTCTCTATTGGAAACCTTCAAAATGGTAATTAACCAGTAAAATTATACATAGTATTCATTTAAACTGCTGACATATAATTGTATAAAAATAAGAGTAAATTGCAATGTACATATCATATCCAGATAGTTCAGTTAATAAGCAATTTATATGCATTTTATAAAGTTACTTCCTTATATACAAGAAATACCATTTGCTTGTTCAACATACCATGTCTTCTAAAATATTGAAAATTGTTTCTATGTAAACTAGCTACAATATATAGGCTGGAAATACAAGAGGATCATCTGGACAGATGAAACTTACAGTTTCATACTTATTTTGATGGCATATTTTTATCATGTTTTAAACAGCACATCACTATTTGCATGTATATTTAAAAATATACACATGCTGTACCATATTATATTGTGGTACTATGTATATATATATACACATCCCCTATGGTATATCTCCATCCTCTTTGGAGATCACTATTCTATTTATTAAGGAAGACCAAAAACTGGGTAGAAATAGAGAAAATCATCTAGGAAGTAAACTTTAAACTAGGGGAGCCTATTTAAAATGAGAAGTGGACAAAAAAATGAACTCCAATTAGAATAATATTAACGCTTCAAATTCTCTCAGCACAGCACTGTTCTAAGAATACTGTTGTTATGGTTTAGATCTTAAATGTCCTCCAAAAGCACAATGTTAAAAGCTTGGTACCTTGTTGATGGCCTATGGGTGGTGGAAATTGTGGGAGGCAGGGCTTAGATGGAAGATTTGAGCTCATTGAGAGAATGACCTTGAATGGGATTTGGGGATTCTGGCTGCTGGTCCTCCCCCCTGCTCCTTCCTAGCCACCATGAGGTAAGCAGCTCTGCTCAAAGAGGCACTCCCTGTCATGATGTTCTCTCTTACCACAGGCCCAAAGTGACAGGACCAAGTGACCATATACTGAAACCATAACCAAAACATATCTTTCCTCCTTTTAAGTTGTTTATCTCAGATATTTTGTCACAGCACAGAAAGCTGAGTAATACAGCTAGGAAATAAATAGGACAAAGAACAAAGAAAGGCTAAACATCTCTGAAAAAAAAGAAGTTACACAACTTCTTTTAGGAATATTAAGTTTTAATATAGATTTGACTTGCATAATAAAATTATTATTTCCAGAGCATTATATGTAACATGAGAGAAAGCTGCCTTTAGGTACACTGATAATGAATTTGTTAATACACACAAACACACACACACACACACACACACACACACACACACACAGAGAAAATATAATATACAATGTATCGTTACAAATTTTGAAAGCACTGTATGAAACTAAATTTGCAAACCCACCTAGATTTTATTGCTATACATGAAAAAGAAGTCATATTATATATACATATATATGTATATATATAGGATGTAAGAATAACTAAATAAAAGGAATGCATGTTAAGCATCACTAATACAAAAATATAATATATGAAATGCTCCAAAATCCATTCTGTTTTGAATTTTGACATGATGCCACGAATGGACAATTCCACACCAAAATTATTGTAAACATTGTACAGAATGACCTTCAGGCTATGTGTACAAAGCTTATAGGAAATTGAAATGAAATTTTGTATTTAGACTTCGGTCAAATTCCCAAGATGACTCTTATATATATGCAAATATTCAAAAACATTCTGATATCTGAAACACTCCTGATCCCAAGCATTTTGGATAAGGGATACTCAACTTGTAATAACAAAGACAATGATTAATGCTCTTTCTCCCCACTTCCTTCATTTAAATTGTTAACAAATGTTCATTTAGCATCCACATAAATTCCATCCATGAAAAAACAAATTTTGAGACCTTATCAAAAGACATAGTTCCTACCAGAAGACCAGGAAGGAAATATTTAATATGAGCTGACTATCTAATTTAAATGGTTTACACTAAAATCTGAAAAGAGAGGAGAATAAGCCAAGAACTTTCTTTTCAAGAACTGAAAAGAACCCTCAAAGAATGACCATTTTATACAGGATTTCTTTAATGGGTAGAAAGGGAAAAAGATAATTTCTAAATTTCCTTACAAACCTAACCTCTATTATTAGCTCAATAGAGCTATTTAGTGTATGCCCAAGCACCAATTCATAAAAAGAACCATGAAAAAATAACTTTATTTTCAGCAAGTTAAAAACAATGAGTTTTACTTTCTTTTAGATTTATAATCAAAGCCTCCAGAATCATATCATGATATAAAGTCAAGCACTGAAAAAGTGCTAAAACTACTTAAAAACCAAAATCAGTTAGAATCTATGAAGATGTTCAAGACAGCAGTTACAGATTTTTAACTATAGTCAAAATTTTGTAAAAATAAAATAGAGTTAAAGCTTTTTTTATTTATCTTTATGCAATCAGCACTTTCGCTTTCCATTTGCCTTATTAATAGCATGTTTTTATGTGGTGTTTGAAAGAAAGAAATATATATTGGTAACCAAATTTACTTCAAGATATTAGAAAGAGTGCATAGTATTCCCAGTTATTTTTTATAGCACTAGTAAGTTATGCACTGTAGTAATTTTCTAATAGCTCAACTGAGATTCTAGAGTAGATTTCTTTGTGTAGCTTCATTTGCTCCTCCACAAAATCTTACCAACAACAACAACAAAAAAAGGATGAATTGTTTTCTATGTTCATCTGTTCAAGCACTTCTCCCTAAAATATTGCCAGGAAAAGTGAAATTTATAACCAAAGCACAAATATTCCTTTATTTATGTTTAGTGTTTATAAATTGTGTCAACAGCGAAAAAAAAGTTGACAGAATAAGTTAACTGTCAACAATAATGTTTCTAAGTTAAGCAGAGAATTCTTCTTTAGAAATAAAACCCTAACACAATGCATTCAACAAAGACAGCTACAAAATTTACGTAACTGTAACAATTATCAAAGACTGATAAACTAACAAAAAATTCAGATGAGATATAATCTCAGAAAAAAAAATTAAAATGTCTCTCAAATTCCTTGATATTAGAACTGGGGCTGGGGCTCAGCCGTAGCACTTGCCTGACATGTGTGAGGCACTGGGTTCGATTCTCAGCACTGCATATAAATAAAAAACAAATAAATAAAGGTCTATCAACAACAACAAATTTTTTTTTAATTCCTTGAAATTAAAAAAAAAGAAAAAAATGATATATTTAGAATTTAAGGGACTGGATAAGGAGGACTACCTCACCATTTTAACTTCTATCTGCTCAGAAAGAAGGAAGAGAGGTTGTATAATAAGTAAAAAATAAAAATTTTTTAAAAAGGCACATCAAAAAAGAAATTCGATAATTTGATAGAAGTTTGGCATCTTTAAAAAAATGTTTCTCTTTAAAGATTTGAATTAGTAGAAACGAAAGTCATGTGTGTGTATAAAAACATGATAATGTAGCACTTCCTATACATTTTTATCATGGCATATCAACAATGCTTAGGGTAACAAATCCTACTACTGTAAGAAGTCATGTGACTTCACTACCAGGATGATAGGCTAATCTGGCTGTGACATCTGGCATTCACCTGAAGTCTAGACTTACACAAAGCTATGAAGTCTAGGCTCTAATTACGAATGTCCTTTTGTCTCTTACAGTTCAACATATATCTCTCTCCAAAAGATAATCTAATTGGTTAGAGAACAATTTTCTTCAAGTTAACTTTATAAAGTAAAATTATATGGCAAATAGTTTCTAATAACCAGATGTTATGACACCTTGATATGTTATGAGGAATTTGTTTTACAATTCTCACTTCAAAATATATATCAAATAAACCGTAAGGATTTTATTAATCATTTGCTTTCTTTTGTCCTTTTCTTTGCTGAGATTGTTGTTGAGATGATACTTTGACATACAAATGAACCCTAATGAACTTTGTATTTGAACTAAAAAGAAAATTAGAATCTGAAAAGGTATGAACATGTTTAGGATCACATCTGTGTGCAGCCTCTTCTGACCTGAGAAAAATGACCTGCTCTTGAGAGCACTCTGCCTTGGAAACCAGGAGAGGCAATAGCTGAGGAAAGGGTAATTAGTATCATTACATTCTCCTTGTTTTAATGATCCCAACTGCAGAGACCCTTTCATTTTTACATGCCTAAAATTAAAAAGATTAGATTATTTTGATATTCCTCCAATTCTAAACCTCTATTTAAATGGAGGCAGACAATATCATTTATGTTGACTAAAATCAAAACAAATAATACTTGAAGAAACTGAAACTGAGTCTAGTGGGTTTCCTTGTTAATATGGGGTAATGAAATGCACTTGTTAATTTTGTGGAATAGAGTGAAACAATATCATGTAATAGGAGGTATAAATTGTAGACAAATATGAATATTTTTAGGATCATTTTCAACTTTTGTCTCTAGAGTTTGGATAAAAATTTGACTTTGAGGGTTATAAATTTTAATGATTTTGATAAATAAATACATGTTATTCAAAAACAATTCACACATGCTTAAAATAAATATTTAATAATATATAATGCATATTTAATCCACATTTAAGAATAATCTCAAATACATAATTGGCATTATTCTGATTACTAAGAATGATTATGTTTATGTTAGATTTCAAAAGTATCTGATTGGTATAATACAAAAACATAAATAATATAGAATTCAAACACTCATTTGCTATTAATATTTTCCCACTTATTTCCGAGAATATCTATTTTATTTCATATCCCTACCTTCTGTCTGGAAGAAAGTAAATTTTAACATAAGGATTCCTTGGTCGCCCATCTTCCCGGGAGGGGAGATCCTTTGCTCCCAGAATTGTAACTATTAATTGGTGACCAACCTTGTCAAACCATAGTTTTATCTGAAAAGCAAAAATATTCATTTATCAGCTCAAACATGTACTGCCAATACATGTTTACATTTCTAATATCTTCACACCATTGTCTTTCACTAACATTAACACAAAATATAAATTTCATTTTAGTTTATTATAATAACATCAATGAATAAAAGAATTTGTTCATATATTTTGTTTTAATTGATAAATCACTCAGACTGCTTATTATCCTAATTCTTTATTAATATTCACATAATAATTATACTATCATAATTAAAGAGCAATATGATCAATGCTCTGTTTTCTAAGCAAGAATCATTATAGTTCATTTTGTTTCCCCTATAATGAGTTTAGAATAAATCCTCAAAACGAATTGAGAAGATAGTAACTTATTTATGTGATATTCATAGGTTATTTTCAAGTAAATGTTTCATGTTATTCCACAGCAAGACATTTCAAAGATTGAGCAAAGAGGATTTAATAGTAGCTTTGGTCAATTGATTCCTCCAGTTCACATTTAAAGCTTTAATAATTTTTAAATTTTTTTTTTACTTTTTCATACATAAAGTTCCTGTGTCTTTAGTGAAGTAAATGCATCACATCCTTAGAATAATAAGATTTCACTTTATAACATGTGATAAGAAAATGTGAATAATATCACTGTGCCATAATTAGGGATTGGAACTTCACATCCAGTGCTGAATTCATTTCACGTAACAGGTATCATCTTCCACACACATACTTCACACCTTCACACCTAAATAGCTGATTCTATTATATCAGGATCTATGATAACCATGGCTCTGATCCACATCTTGGTTCAGAACTCAGTACATCTCTGACCAATATCTTGAAACTGAAAAGGAACCAAAAATTTGAAACTTGAGAATTACAGGTAAAAATAAATTCTGATCATATCTGGAACACTGGTAGTTCAGTTCCAATTCCACCATGGCTTTCCTGAGTGTCTCACTTCATATTCTAGATAACAAGAGACTAAGCAACTTTTAGCAGAGATAGACTGACAGCCCAAAAGAGTAGAAAAAATAATATCTAACCCTTTTATCTTTCTAAAAAGAATTAGTCCTCTTATAGGAATAAGAGTAAGAAATATCCAAATTTTAAAAATTAATTACTAGTTTTTATATTCTATTAAGTCTTTATGATTAATATAGGTATTATCTTCCTATTGTACAGCAATTTTTTTTAAGAGTTTCTAAGTTCAAAACTCAGACCTTAAAAAATTTTTCTCAAAGTCTGGCTAACAAACTCCTACAGTAGTATTATCTGACTTATTTATTTAAAAGTTATAAATTTCTGTGCCCACCTTCAGCTATTCTATCAGAATAGGGCCTTGGAATTTACATTTTAATTAGTCCTCCTAGTGAACCTTAAGATAACTAAAATTTGAGAACCACTGCCTTATGCAAAGGAATCAACAACCTGAAGGAAAAGTCTCCAGTGAAGGAGAAAAGTTCAAACATCTGCATGTCTAACAATATAAAAATACAGATACATAAGTATGGGTGGAGTGAAGAGTTAAATATTCTTTTGGCAAATGCCATGAGAAGAAAATAAAAAATAAATGCAGAAATGCTTCACTGTATATGAAATGAAAGAGATGTAGATAGTGTCACAGTTCCTCTAAAATGTGTGACTAAGATCACATTAAAAATTATTATGTTCTTTATTTTTCACTAATAATAAAAGAGTTTATGGCTTTATTCTTTCAAGATATTAAAAATCCTTCTCAAAGGATCATAACATGAATATTGACACCTCAAAGAAAAAAGGATTTTGAAATGGTAAAATAAAAAATTTTCCAATAAACTTTAAAATTAAAAAACAGACAATATTTATCATTATGAGACTGAGCTCAAAATTATGTGAACAAATTATTGATTATTGTGAAAAATTTTCAAAAGTTTGAGACTAAGCACTTGTTACCATCTTCAGAGGCAATAATTTTGCTCAAAAATCATTAAACAGTTGAGATACATTTCATAAATCTCATAAAGAGTATTCTTTTCATATTTCCTCATGCCATGGAAAACCAAAAAAATCACTAATATCATTCAATTCTCATACAAACCAATATTAGGATATGGCATTCATATTTTCATAATGGTCTTTTATAGTTATTTAAATTATACTTTCCAAGTATATTCTATTAAAATAATTTAGATAGGAAACAAGTAAATTTTAATTCTACTCATTATTTAATCAAAATTGCACCTTTTTATATGCTGTCTTACACTGAATATTTGATAGCCCTAATTTTCATTTATATTATAGGACTTAAAACTAAAAATTTAAGTTTTTAATAGACATCCAGTTCAAATATTTCACTACTTAGCTAATTATATCATATTCTTAAATTTCTGATTTGTATTCTTAAAAAAATGATTAAAACATAGCTCTTGATTTCCCCAAATATAACAAATATATTCTCACAATTCTAGTACTGAAAATTTTCATGCTCAATTAATTTCTTTAATAAAATCTTGGTATCCTTCTAATTGTTTAATTTGATTATCATCCCAGCTTTACCATGTAACAGTTTTTAATTTTTCTAAGTAGAAACTAAACAGTACATAAATATTTTATACTGCCATATTAACTAAAATAATTTTGATCTCTAAAATTTAAACAAAGTAACTATTATTGAAAATCAGCAAATTCTTAAAAACATGCAGCAAAGCAAGGAAGGCATAATACTACTACTTTTAAAAAATACTATATTGACATTATTTTACCATATAAAGGTTTCCTAGAGAAAACAGGCAAACAACTTGTACCCAAATATTACAATAAATTAAATGGAATGATATAATATAAACAAAATAAGCCAAACACATTTCAGTTGGATTTGGATTTTGTTCTTTCAAAGTAATGTTCTTTCCAAAAGTTGAACCTTGTATACAATATGCATATAATTCACATTTTAAATAAGGTACAAATGTATTTGCCAATCTCCCCAAGGAGTCATTGCTTGGAAAATGCAAGAGAATGTAGATGTTAAGTAATATAATGAATGATTTAAAGAGACAGCAATCTTAGTGTAACAAAAATATCAACAGTATAAAACTGTTATTTCTATAATGTTACATATTTAACTGAAATATAAAATAAATCTATATTAAATGCCACTTTGAAACCTAAAAGTTTTATTTTATCATATAAAATCACTAACAGAGATTGTCTCTTTAAATTTTTATTCAGTATTCTAATCCCCATGCAGAACTTTTACAAGCTGGCTCATCAAATGATTTGAAAGTCAATAATATGACTTGGAGCAACATACCAAAACAAGTTTTCCTACTACGCATTTTCCAAAAACATACAAATAAGGGATAAAACACAATTTAATTTCTATCAGGCAGACAAGGCCTTTACCTGAACCCTAGGAACAAAAGGCGTTGTTCTTCTACTAAGGCTTTGGCTCTGGTAAGCAAAATTAAAGAAAAAAGCAATAAAACAAAACCAAAAAGGACAACACGCTGGAACTAAAAGACCAAAAGTAAAAATAAAGACATAGAACTATCCCTTAAATACAACATTTTCATGAAAACTTACTTTTTTAAAATTAAATAATTCTAATAAGTAAATTAATATTGATAAATGTTAAGATACATTAAAACTATACAAACTATTATATTTATTTAATCAGGATTTTAAAATATAGTCAACATAACGGAAATTAAGATAAAATAACATGTTTGGGCCTGTATATTCTGAAAGAATGATTGTAAATATAACCCAGGAATCAAAAAATTCAGATTTTACTCTTACTCTTACGTACTACAGGCCTTGGTATCCATAGAGGTTTGTTCCAGGACACAGCAAATAACAAAATCCATTGATGCTCAAGTTCCTTATGAAAATTGTCATACACACACCCTTCCTTATGCTTTAAATCATCTCTGAATTGCCTATAATACCTGAAACAATGTAACTACTATATAAATAGTTATTATATTGTATTTTGGGGAAAATAATGATATGACAAAAGCCTAAACATATGTAGTATAGGTTTTTTAAATACTTTTCATTCACAGTTTAACCTGTGGATACAAAATACATGGATATGGAGGGTCAACTGTACCTAGGAAAAAAGTGTACTCCAAAAAGAAGTTAGATTTAAAAAAGTATTAAAGAATTATTATTGAAAAAGTCATCTGTGCAAGTAATTGTGGAACTTTTCCAAAATGATGTAAATTTAACCATACAAAAAAATTTAGCCAACTTGGTTTTAGAATTTCTTTAACAAACAACAAATAAAAAAGCACATTAAGATAAAAGTGTGCTGGATGCACATAATTAATTGATGGTTCACATTTTAATAATCTATACCAGTTTCTAGTACTAAACACCAACTTCAGACATTCAGTGTTTTTAATTGGAGACATTATTATTTACTACTAATCATGCTGATTAATGACAATATCTCATTACTACTGTTTATACAGGTCTTAATATTTTTTCAAGCCTTTAATGACAACTTTTTGCAAGTTTATTGGCTCCTATTACCAAGAACGCTAGTTGTTATTATCCCCAATTTTGCAGATGAGGAAACAAAGACATAAAAAAAAGATATAGATATACTTGCCTGTACTCAAAACACAAGATAATGTAAAGACAGGAAGTGGAGTCCCGTTCTGATTAAAAACACTCTATTTCAAATTCTTAGAATAAAATTTCTTTTCTTTTCTGACTTTTTTTTTTTTTTGCTTTCATTTTGAAACCATTTCCAAAAGATACCACAATAATCAGAATCCAGGCATGTCAATGGTCAAATCAAGACCAAAACTAGATGTGTATCTTTGGATTTGAGAATGGATTTTAAGACATTTAATTCTGCTTTTCTCACCAGGATCCCATCCCATTCCTCATATTTCTTACAGATGAATCTCTTGTCTCCTTCTTTCAAGTTATAAATAGTTAAAAGCTTCTTTCTATATTTTCCACTGCTACACAGAAACAGTGAGGAATAGGTGGACTATTGCCCAATTCAACTATCATTGGACAGATGCTATTTAAGATATAAACCTAAAACCCAAAGAAAAGCAGACATTATTTAATTATGAGTCATATCTCCCCGCTCCCTCCAAAGACCAAAGTCTCAAATCCAAGCTATCTTCCTTTTCATATGGCCATATGGTCATATGGCCATAGGAAGAAGTACTCAGATGCGGAGTGTGTTTATGATATCTGTCTGCATATCCTGGGCAGATAATTCTTTAGCAAATGGAAGAAGGGGTATATGAAATTCACAGGGATTAACTAGACATGCTGAACAAATGGACTACCAAGGTACTCTAGAAATGCATTTTATTTTCCTTGGCTTTCCACCTATTTTGCTCTAACCAAATATATCAAGATAATGAAATATTTTGGAAGAAAATATTACTTCAAAAAACCAAAATTTTACTTTAAAAGGAATAGTATTTGAAATAAATTAATCCTTTAAACATTTTTCTACTTCTAAAATGATTTCAGTCTGACAATTCACAGTTTTCTGAAGTTAGCCTTTTTAAACTGAATCTTCACCCAGGCATCCATACATTAAAGTGACTGTAAAAATACATTTAGAATTTGGTGGGTTTTAATTCAAGTGAAATTCATAAAATATACAATGAACCATTTTAAAATATACAATTCAGTGGCAATCATTGAGTTTCTGATGCTATGGAATAATCACCATTCCCTAGTTTCAAACCTTTTTCATCATTCACCAGAAAAATGCTCTGTATTTTAATCACTCCTCATTCCCCTGTCTCACTATCCCTTGGCAGCCACTGAGCACTTTCTATCTCTATGGAGTCTAGGTATCTCAGATAGGAATAATGAAGTACTTGTGCTGCTTTGTAATTGATAATTATTATTAATTCATTTATTTCAAGCATGAAAGATGTGATGTTTATTACAATTCTGGCTCCATATAAATGGAAGATTTTAATTTGTACACCATGATCTATTTTGCATTTTTTGTCACTTCTGTACACCTATCTTGTCTTTCATGCAATACTTCCAGAATAACAGTTATGACAATGTATTATAAAAGATTAAAGTTTAGAGGAAAAACTTTATACAACATTTTTTTAAAGGCTCCAAGTTTCCAAGAGGATATAAAAGGCACACAACTACTCTGAAGTTACTTATTACCACTAAATGGTAATATAAAATGGATATTTACAATATTTACTAAAAAATAAAGTCACAAAAATATTAAAGTAACTTGTGGAAACTCTGCAACCATAAATCAACCATTGAATCCATATTAAAAATTTTTAAATTGTCAGTAGAATCAATTTCTGAGTTCCTATAGAAAGGATTCTGAATCTTTTCTCACTTTAAAAAAAAAAACAAAAGTTTTATTTTATCTCAAAATTAGACAAAGATTATAGATTAATTTTAAAATATTAAGATTTATAATGATAATCTTCTGAAGGCATAAACTGCTAAATTCTAAAACACATATTTTTAAAAAAAGAATGAAAACAAAAGAGTGCTGTCACTGAAAAGGCTAACATATAGTCCAAGTGGCATAAACCTGAACTCAAGCTGATTTTTTCAAAAATACATTAATGACACTTTCACACTTATACCCTAAAATACTGGCAGTCACATAATAAGTCTATAGAGAAAATAAGTTGTATACAAATTTTTTTTAAAAAAAGGACTGGAGCATAAACATGTAAACAAGAAATTTTATATGTATATTTTCTATTTAAGAAAATATCAGTCCATGAACTAACAAATATATTAGAAAGGTCAGCCCACATACTATACAAATTATCTTTTTTTCTCAAGCATTAGCAATTCATGATTTTGTAAGTTTGGTATAGGGCCAAGTAAAATCCCACTGAAAGCAAAAAAAAAAAAAAAAATGTAAGAAAACACAAATGTAATGTTGCCTTGACACTTTCAAGAACTTGCCCTAGGAATGATGTATATAGACATTTTTTCAACTCCTACATCATTATAGCAAAATTGTTCCAAAATGGTAGGGATAGGATTATGAAGGAAAATATTATATCCATGATAGCATCTTACTTGTGTTTTCCTAGATACAAAGGTTGAAATTAAAATTAGTAAGTTACATGATAGTAAAAACCATTCTATCTTGTTCATTTTTATTCCTGATGACAAGTACTATATTAGTAGTACTAATAGTACTATTTCTGACCCTGGGTGATTTTTAAATAGATGACTGGACATTGATTTGTTTAAAAAAATGTAGAAAAATTTGGAATAGACTTCAATAATCTTAAATTTTTACTTTATACTTCATATTATTGTTATTTTACTTCAGGAAAGTTATTCTCACAAAATAAATTGGCCCCAGCAAAATTATGCAAGATTTAGATTCAAGGATTTCCATGGCATCAATATTTATGATAATGAAAATTTGAAATCAGCAATATAAAATAAATCATATATGATATTACATGATATATGAATTAAACTTAAAATGAAGCATTAAATATCTACAAAATAATTTTATCAGAAATTTTTTAAAGAATATTTTTTTTCTTTAACATTTTTTTTTGTTCTTTGTTTTTTTTGTTTTGTTTTTTTGTTGTTGTTGTTTTATGTGGTGCTGAGGATCAAACCCAGGGCCTCGAACGCAGTGCTCTACACAACCCAGCCCAATATTATCAGAAATTTTTAAGCTGAGAAAAAGTTTATAATATGCTATTACATAAAAAAGGTGTACAGCAGGATGTACAAATTTATTATTTTTATTTAAAGATTTATATATTGTGACTGGTTAAATGATGGTATCAGAATTATAGATGATTTTTATTTTTTAATTTTTTTATATTTTCTACCTATCTATAATAAATAGGTATTATATTTATAATTAATATCTTTTACATACAGGGATGTGGTGTGTGTATGTGTAATTTCAAAACATATGCAATTGAAGTTTCACAAATATCATGCTAGAGCATATTCCTTCCAATTCGTAAGAAAATTAGAAAATGGGATACACATTAAATTTTAATTATGTGGATTTAAACCAACATCATTTGTAAATCTAAAATTCTTTATATAATTGTACATACATTTAGAGATGAAACTTTTGGTTTTATGTTGTTCCAAATATTTAGCAGCCTCGCCTTCCTACCATATTAATTTTGAACCATAAGGACAATTAGCTACCTTTGAAACTGTCTGAATCTCTGCCCTATGCTCCTAACCTGACCCTCCTACTCCAATTTGTATACGAACATAGGAGAAAACATATTCTTATTATGAAAATTCAATTTTTGCTCCTCACTCAGCCAACTCAAGCTAATTATACACATAGACACATAAACACACACACACATACACACAAACACACACATACACACACAGATTTATTTATGGACTAGAATCATCTAACATAACCCACCCAGATATTATTTAAAGATGACCTATTTAAACGGAGCCATAATAAAAGACAATACCTAACCCACTAATGTTTTCTAAGATGGTAGAAAAAACACATAAATTTGTTGTAACTATACATGTTAATACATGTAAGAAAATAAGTAGAAACTTATTCTAGAGAATGGAAAAAAGACCATGGTGCTAAAATGAAAAAGTTAAGTCTACTTATAAAAGAGAAAAGAAAGTAATAAAGGGAAGAAGCTTATTTTAGTGAGACACACAAAATCTCCTAACAGTATTCCTTATTCTTTCTTGCATAACTTTTCTGTTATTATCAGCTTTGTGATCAAAATAGTTCCAGAAGAGACATGTCTAATAACTTCTTCAATAATTTTAAGATCATAATTTTTATTTTTATTATCTTCCCACATTTCCTTTTAATTAAATGAAAATGCTTCAGAAAAATCAAACACTATACCATTCCCCACTTAAAAAAAAAAAAAGAAATGTTTTAGCTGATTTAACAAAAAGCTATTTCTGTTGCACTATATATACCAGCCCAAGATACTTTAGTTTAAACTATAATATTTTCAACCAAAATTCAATGTCTAGACTAGGGGAATCTAAATACTTTTCTAATATTCATGAAACTTCAAGTTAAGTAAACATCAACATTAAGGACAATAAAACTGAATAAATATAATAAAATGTTCTAACAACTGAAAAATAATAAAAAGTGAGGACTTAAATTTGCAAAACTCTTCTAATATGGATATAGCATAAAATGTGTTATTGAACTTTTATCTTTTGATCAGAAAATGAACACAGGAAACATCACGTAATGTGAAATTACCTAGCATATTCAAGAAATTTACTATATGTCTCCCCAATATTTTGGTTTTCTTTGTTGACAAAGAAAATCTCCAGTATCCTAATATTTCAGAGCAATATTTAAAATCCAATCATTATTATGATATTCACGCCAAATTTCATTTTTGTGGAGGAGAATTCCAGGGATTGATATCAGAGGCACTCAAGCTCTGAGCCATATCCTCAGCATTTTTCTGTATTTTATTAGAGTCAGGATTTCACTGAGTTGCTTAGCACCTCACTTTTGCTAAGGCTGGCTTTAAACTCTGGATCCTTGTGCCTCAGCCTCCCAAACCACTGGGATTATAGGCATGCGCCACCGCACCTAGAAAGCCCCAAATTTCCTTAAGATTGAAAGTAGGGAAGAAAAAAATATATATATATATATATATATATAAATATATAAAGTTACTTTTATCTTAAGTAGTACGTTTGTACAGCACAACATTTATTTCTCTTAAAAATCTTGACAATTTATAGTCATTTTAAAATATAGAGCAAAAATCATAACCTGAGTTTTAGAATAATTATTAAGGAAAAAAATAGGTAGTGTCTTCACAAAATCTGTCAATAATTACGCAAAACATAATTTTAATAGAGAAGGCACTATGAAGATTATTCTAAATTGAATTTCAATTAGTTAAAATTAATAACAAAGAGAACAATGATGGTTAAATTACAATTATGCTCTAGGAAAAACTTGGCTTACAAAAACCTAACATATCATATTTTAAAAACAATATAATATTCCACAAAGAAAAATTAATTTATTGACTACATACTGAAAGTTGTCCAGATAAGAACTGTGGAACATCCCTCAACATGCCAGGGCTCATGGGAGAGGTAACAGAAATAGAAGGCCGATCCATTTTTTGAGATTCAAATGAGCTAGAACCTGAAATGATACATAAGGAATAATAAAAATGGCTCCTCTTACTTTTTAAGAATCTTTAGGATATATTGTTGAAATGTCATTTTATGTTACAAGTAAACTTACAGGTTTTGCTTTTGCATATAAAAATATATTTATTCTGTTATGTGCACTATACTCATATCTTACAATAAGATAATAAAATGTTCATAATAGAAATGGAAAAATAATCAAAACATCAATCAATAAAGAAACTTACAGAGAGTCTAAACTTTAAATGCTAAGAAAATAAGTACCAGACTATCCCAGAATTATTAAATGTTTCCAGTAGGTGATATTTAAACTATCTCTTGAAGAATCTAATAAGTTACACTGACAGAAAGGAAAAGCCAAAGTCTCCACAGTGACTTATAAAACATGCAATTCTGCTGCCCTTTTCTCCAATTCTGATATCCTCTTTTTACCATTCTCCCCCTTGCTTATTCCAATTAGTCACAGTGGCCTTGTTAAGTTTCCTTAAATGCACCTTAGGCTTTCCTGCCATACAGCCAATGTTATGTCTGGCTTCTGTACCTGAAAAAATTTTCCCTCAGGTAACCACTCTTTCAAATTTTTGCTTTAATCTTTTTCCTCAATTTGGTCTACCTGATTGATGTATCTCAAATTGCAACTGTCCTCCTCTCTCCCAGTATGCCATAATCAATCAAGAACCTTAGTTCCTCGGGAAAAAATTCATATGTTTAACATTAACACACTCATAAATAAGAAATAAAAAGTACACATTCGAAATTATTTAAGTTTGTATATTTATTGTCCCAATACTGCTTTATTGCTGAAACAGAAAAATTATTCTGTTTTCCACAAATGTAGATTAGAATCAATGTAATTATTCACTAGTTTTTCCCAAACATTCTTCTTCTATTTACTGAGAGTGAGTCTACAAAGAGTAATTTTAAAATTGAGGAAAATGTTGGGGATGAAACAGTTGGGAGCAATGGGTATATTTATGATTTTTTTATTGGGAAAATGGATTCATAGATACATATGTATGCCAAAAGTTCCTAATTGTACTCCTTCATTCAATCAGTTTATTGTGATACACCTTAATAAAGCTACCTAAAATCCACATTATTAAAACTAATCTTATTATAAAATTCTATACTTTTCCTCATAGTGATGTGAATGATACTAAATTTTCTATCTTCATATGATTGTATACTTGATAACAATATCATTATATTTTTTACTTTGTATTAACAGACAAAATACTTTATCTGACCTTGATAAGTAACATTATTAATAACATTTCTTCTAGTAAAAATAAAACTTACTGGATTCCAGTTGTGCATGTGTGCTATCAGGTATTCTAGGTATATCTCTGAAATGATAGAAAAAGAAAACAACTGTTTCAATAATTAATGTAATGGCTATATTAATCATTATCTACTTATATAATAATTGGACACTGTAAAACAAAAACCTGTGTGTTGTTGAGTTATTATATGAATAAGAAATAAAAAAATCTTTTTTGCTAATAAATGGTTTGGACTAATGCCAAATGTTTAAAAGAAATTAAGATGCATATGCCTTTGTAGATTTATAAAAACCTATCTGTTATCTTCTTTGTGACTCACTACATAAATTACTCACTCTAAAAAACTTTTGTATTCAACAAGGTAAGTTTCACAGATACATTTTAATTCTATTCTAGTCTTTATTTTTACCTTCTGTCTAAATCAATAACATCGAAGCTAAAAATATCACCAAAACAAAAATTAGATATTCAGATTGTAGTTAAAAAATAAATGTAATAACGGCAAACATGTTTCTTACTGGGACATTCAAAGTTACCTTTTCAGTAAAAGCACACTAAAAATACATATACTTATTGATGGGAAGATTAGATATCAGAATAAAAAGAATAAATTATTTGAATAAATTAACAAAAATATGATTTAAGAGCACTTTAACACCAAGAAATATATTTGATTAATGCACTAAGCAAATAACTGCAATTTTACCACATTAAAAAACTATGTATGGACAAATAAAAAATGGGTATAATTTCATGTGCTAAATTCATTACTTTGAAAGGAACATTTCAATAAAACTAAGTTACCAATCTAAATCATTTTCTCTAGCATAGAAAGAGATCAAAATAATACAGTCCAACCATTTCCTAAATGAGTAAAAACGGGGCACTCATGTTCTACAACAAAAGAATTTCTGTAGCCTCCACTCTGGATTGCTCTCTCCCAAATATGCATTCACTGTCATTTTATATAATATTCTATTGCTTTTACTTTGACATAAATATGCCAGAGATACAATCTTTTACATTTGCCTAGAATATAAGCTTCTCCAGAGGTAATAATGTTGTGATATTTAATGAGAAATTCTTATAATTCTAGTTGAAGAATGATATTTATTGACAACTTTTGGAAATCGCCTATTTAATCCATAGGCAATAAATTACATATCAAAGAATACTTTGATATTTGTCTATTTTCAGTACTTTTAATCACCATTCCTTAAAGAGAGTGTTTTCCTTAAACACGTTCCTGCATCTGAGAATTATATCCCCCTTAAGTTCTTTTTTTTCCTGGATTGAAATCTGCATTTTTGAAAAAAATATATATTTAAAATTTCTAGACTATAGATGATTGTCATTTTTACAGTGTAGAAAACTATAGTTGTGAAACTAAACCTTAAAAATTGTTACCATAGTCTACTTCTCTTATAAATGAATATAGACATCCATTTAGTTGCTAAGATAATCAAAATAAAAGGCATCTGTAATGGTTTGAGTATGAGGTGTACCCTCAAGAGCTCCTATGCTAATGCAAAACATTCAGAGGTGCAGTTATGAGAGCTGTAACCTAATTACTTCATCCCAATTTGAATAGACTAACTAGGTGGTAAGAATAGACAGGAGGGTGTGGCTAAAGCAGGTTGTTTACCAGAGAAGTGCCCTAAAAGGGTTCATCTTTCTTGAAGTCCCTTTCCCTCCCTCTCTCCCTTTCTCTCTGTTTCCTGGCCACCAGGAGCAGATAGCACTCCTCCCTCCATGCCCTGCTGCCTTGGATGTTCTGCCTCACTTTGGACCCAAAGTAATTTGGCAGGCAATGGACTGAACATCTGAAACTGTGAGCTAAAATAAACTAAGTTGTTCTTGTTGGGTATTTTGATCAGTTATAAAAAGTCAACTAACACAACATTTATTTTTTTTTTCTTTTGTAATAAACTGTATAGTCTATCACAATCAGATGAAGTGATGATTTTTACTGAGATGTCTTTGGCAAAGAAAAGGAAAAGTGATTGTCTTATAAATAATTTATTTTCATAAAGCAGAATGACATTTTGCATTGGTACAATATGAATTACCTAACAGTAGTCTACACAAAGTCAAGTACTGAAACCAACTTACCCAATAGGCCGAGAAACAACAAGCTCCACTTGTGGTTCAGGTTTGGATTCTAAAATGATGTTGTACACTTCCTCAAATGTTGCTCCTTGCAATAACCTTCCATTCCATTCTAATACTTCATCACCTACAGTATCAGTAATAATAATCTCAGAAAAAAAAAAAAACTAAGCCCCAAAAAAGTACTCAAAACAAAATCAACCTTTAAAGTTCAATGAACACTACAGAATAAAATCAGCACTGTGGAATAAAACCCACACTAAAAATAATCCCAATGGCATAAAATTTAACGGTCATGTTAATATACTTCACCAAAAGGATATAGTCAGAAGAAAAAAGAGTACACAAAAGTTATCATTTTTTATTTGTTATGGAAATTTTAATTGTAGACAACAATCAAAATCAATTTTCTCTTTATAGGTTTTATGACTCTGTACTGTGTGTGTGTGCAAACACACGCGCATTCAAATAACCAAGTTCTCTGTTTTCTTTAATGGGTTTCCCTTGTTGAAACTCTTTTGTAAAAATCTTAATAATTACCATTTTATCAAATCCTCTTTAAGGCACTCAAGGATTTCTCCAAGAGTATGAAGTGACATATAGTAACACATTTTAGAAAAAAAAGCATTTATCTATGAACTAGTTTTCCAAACTAAGTTGGAATTTTTTTCCAGAGAAAAATCAGGCTATGGGAAACAAAATAAATTATTATTACATATTGATTAGAATATCCGCCAGCAAAAAAAATCAGTAAACATAAAAATTCTTTTTTGAATCATATTAGATTAAACTTTCCATTCACTAGTAAAGCTATATATCTAAGTGAAATGAGCTCTTTCTCATTGGTCAAATCAGTTCTAAATGAGGACAACTTTTTCTTAACTATTCATAATGAACTCTTTTTTTTTTTTTTTTTTTGGTGATACTGGAGATTGAACACAGTGATTCGCTACCACTGAGCCACATCCCCAACCCCTCTCCCCTTTTATTATTATTTTTTATTTTGAAACATTAAGTTGCTGAGACTGGCCTTGAACTTGCAATTCTCTTGCCTCAATCAACTGAGTAGCTGGAAATACAGGTGGGCACCACTGTGCCCAGTGAACATTTAATATTTTAATTATAAATAACCAATAGAAGAAACGTACCTGGTCTAAGATGTCCTACAGTATCAGCTAAACTTCCTTTTTTGACTTTGGTAATAAATGCACAGAGCCGACCTGATTCAGTCATCTTTCCTCCTACAACCTGTTTAAAAGAGGAACGCACTAAAGTTGTCATATTGTTAAAGTGCACATACTTGAAAATTCAAGTTAAAAATATTTGGAACAATTTGCAGCTTCTACAACAAATTTAATGTGTTGAGAATCATTTCTTAAATAATTCAGCATTGCTATTAGGAAGTTAAAATATTCCCTAAGAACTAACTCCTTTTACATACTCCAAATATGCTACAATTTAATTTATTATCTGTTAAAATGTCATATACCTTTAAAAATAACAACCATTTACAAGTTTTGTCCTTATGATAATTCTTATTTTTGTAATTTCTCAAAACATGTTGTCATAGTACTATATAATTATATTAAAATTTCTTTTTATAAATTTAAAATATTACAATACATATATTGTTACTTTTACTTGATTATGATATGCTACAAAATTTTCATTAGTACGTATTTGGGCATGATGATTATGTAAATAATGATGATGGATCTTTCTTGGGAAAATAACAAGGTATACTTAATTTTATCAAAAGCAATGTAAACTTGCAGACCATTTGCAGCCCGCTTTTTCTAAAAATGTTAAGAATAATTCTATGGAAGCATAAGTGTACCTGTAAGATACTAGCTGGCCTCTTACAAAATTAATGTTTTGCTTCTCATCAACTGCCATTTAACCAATATATTAACTTCATAGCAGGTAAAGCAAATGAAACTAACAAAATTCAACAACTAAATACTTTTTTCTCTTCTAAATAGGGTGAAAGATATTTAAATTTAAAACTCACTGATTTATTTTATTCCATGTATTTATTCCATAATTACACTCAGCTGCAATTCAGTTAATACTTATTTAGTCCTATATTTCAAAATTAAATATAGATATCTTGTGGGCTTACAAACTCATGTAAATTTTTTTAAAAAATTTGACTTATCAAACTTTAACAGTAATAATTAATTATGCTATCTACAGTTATTATTAGTAATATTATTGAAATCTTATGGTATTTCAGATACTGTACTAAATGCTTACATACCGCTTCAATAAATTTTATTTTAACAATCTAATAAATAGCATTATCAGCACTGGAAAAATGAGGAATCTAAGACTAAGAGTAGTTGCCAATATTACGTAGCTAGCAACTGCTATCACTGAAATTTAAGCCAAGACTGCCTAACCTCTATACCACACTGCTCTAACACTATATTGGGCAGATGGGGATTTAAATCCCACCATTGTCATCATCTTGTGATCATAGATAAATTATGACACCTCTATAAGCTTGTTTCTCATCTGTTCTAAGTGCTGAATTAGCTGACAGATGTTAAATGCTCAGATGAGTGCCAGTCACACAGCAGCCACCCATAAATGAACTTGCCCAATTCTACCTACATCCAAATTTTTCTAGTATCTGTTACTATTTATATTCTACAGTACAACTTCTACAGTAATGGCTTAACTCTAAAAATTTACTTGGGTTTCATTTCAGCTTTTAATTGTCTATATTAGATGCATAAAATCAAATAGCTTATTCATTTACCAAGTAATTCCCTGCTATTTAACAGTCAAATATAAAGCAATACTCATATTTAATTTCCTAACATAATTATTTTTGTTTCCAGACTTTCAACAGGATTCTCTCTCATACACACACATACACATGCACATAACTTTACTACATTAATACAAAATCATATTCCTGAATAATATACATATTACATTTCCCTATTCTGTATATAGAGTACCTAAATAAAATTATCATTTTAATATAAGATAAACACAGATATAGACTTAAAGAGCAAAATGTAAAGGTAAAATAAGTTTTATCATTGTATGTAAGACTCAAATTTATTCTAATCAGATAGTATCATTGTCTTTCAAAATTATATACATGAGTATTATTGTGGAATAATTGCAACTTCTTAAATAATACTTGGAAAATAAAAACTTTGGGATAATGAGTGACAGTATTTGAGGAATCTTGAAAATGTGTGTGGGGGGAACTCCCTTAAGTTTGTATGGGTTGAAAGTTATTATATTTTTTCCTGATAAATCTGTAAAGGAGTATAGAGCCAAAATATCACACATTTTATTACATACCTTTAAACCAAGCATTGCTCCTGAGTCTCGAGGAACACTTCCATCTTTTAGTCGCTTATTTAATAAAATACGACCAATTAGGCGATCTCCATCTTTAGATGGTTGCCAGGTCACAGGATGCTGACATATTGCATCAACAAATAAGAAAAATTAATGTTCTTTTATAACAAATTATCTCTAATTGTACAATCTAAGTTCAGAACTCTAACCCTTTATGATTACACAAACCAATTTACATTCCAAAACCGATGAGAAAAGTTTACTATCTTACCCTTGCAATCTCAATTTTGTAATAGAGATTTTTTTGCAAAATTCAATTTTGCTGAATTCTTACGGTTCTCTGAAACAATACTGAAGTAATATAGCTCTACAAAATGAGGAAAAACTTTTAAAATCTTTAACATTTCTATATGCTGAAGATTAACTAAAAGTTAACAGGCTGAAATTTTATGCAGTTGAATCCATTTAAAAATGAGAATTTCTTCTTAAAACACTTTTGAAACAGATTTTAAAAGACTGTATTACAATAAAATTAAAAGTTTATATCTTATTAAAACATAAAATCTAAAGCCATAATAAAGGTTTTCTTGAATAAGCGTCTTGATTAAAATTCTTAAAAAATACACAAGCTCCAATAACTTTCCAACTGATTTGATTTTGCATAAGACAAACAGCCTTCATTCAAAGATTGTATTTCTCACTTCATCGAAGTTCACTGATTCTTTCAAGTCTTTGGCCTATCTAGGAAATTACCTTTAGTAGATAATTCAATGGTATCCATTGCTAAGTAACCTTGAAAATATTAGTAGTTTATTTCTCTCAATGCAGAACTAAGGCCTCTACAAATAATGACCCAGTCCATTATGAATGACAGGGTAAATATCAAAGTAAATGATTTGTGTAATCATAGTATTTTCACAGTCACCTAAAATAGCATGCATATCTTCATGCAAAATTTAGCAGGCAAAACACAAGTTCCATTCAATCACATCTATATGGTAAAAGATTTCAAAAGTTTCACTATACTAAAAGCAAAAATAATAAATATCAAAGCAGATGGCAATGGCTCTAATACTAATTAATAATACATTAAAATGCTGTATTGATAAAACAAAAGAGCAAAATGACAGTGAAAGGGAAAAAAGAAAAACAACTTTTTCTGTGCAAATAGACCCAATTATCTGCCTTTTGCCTGGGATTCAAACTATTAAAATTTAATTTTCATCCCAAGGAAAATATATAGAAGCAATTAAATAAGCCAATCCAAACAATTGTTCATTATTTGTGGCTTATTATAACATTACAAAATTCTCTCATGCGACCATAAACAAACCATTCCTTTGTTCCTAAGTTTTATTTTCAGTTACTTATTTTTTGGTATGCTGTCAAACAATAAAAACAGCAAAGCAAGCAAGAGTTTTTTTTTGGTTGGTTTGTTTGGTTTTATTTTGTTTTTCTTTTCTGCACCTTAAGAAATGCTACATTGACCCTTGAAATGCCCTGTCCTTTTAGTATGTTCTGTTTTAATGAGTGACAGAGAGCAAACGAAGACCAAATGAGCAGGTTAAAAGGCAGGCTCCACAATCTCAGTACCTTATCACTATGGCTATGCTCCTCGTTAAGGGTTGTGCTACTACAGGTATCTACCCCAGAGTCCTTAATCTGAGGTTCAGACCATTCCAAATCCTCTTCCAAAGAGTGGCCACCAAAGTACATCATTTTCTTTTGTCTCTCAGACCTGGTGTTAGAGTCCGACAAAACTGCCTGCTCACTAGTTTTTCTTTTTCCCTTTTGACTGTCCCCTACAGGCATGGGATAAAAAAAAAAAATACAAAAAAGAAAACATGCAAAGGTATAAATAAAAAGGAAAAGTGAAATGATAACGGAAATTAAATAGTAAGGCTCCACATGTCTCACCAAAGACATTGGGGAAGCCTCACTGCTATGCCAAGACGTATGGTCCAACCAGTTGTAATCCATGTCTCCTGTGAGAGTCAGACAGATAAGAGTGCAATAAAGGAGACGGCGAAAAAAAGGACAGACAGAGACATTATAAACATATTAATCTGTGTGATCCTGTCTGGTTTCAGGAACTTTAGCACTCATTACATATACCAAGAGAAAGCTAAGTTTCCAAGTGAATAAAATTTATAGAATGCAGAATACAAAGTTTATGTACTCTGGACAGACCCTACAAAACAAAGCCCCGCAAGAAGAAAAAAGGCTAATAATAAACAAGAATAGAAACAAAACAAAAAAATGGATATTCTGAAAAAGAGACTCTTGGCTATCTCTGTTTCTTATGCTAATTTTCCCCCATACTGACCTAAAGACATGAGTTTATTCTCCAAAGACTAATGATCATTAAAAAAAATTAAACAGTGGTTTGCCAATAACTACCATTTCAAAAGCCAAATAATTAAAAGTTGTTCCTTGAATGTAGTATCATATTCTATATAACGGCGAAACCTCCTCAAAAATTTGAGTGTTTAAAAAATTGGTTAAACAAAAGATTAAATTTATAATAGTTAAAATGAAATAAACTACTTAAATATCATGAATTACTTAATATTACTTTGAAATAACTCATCAACATTTTTCAGAAATTGTATCCTTGTAAAAAGTAAATTTTTAAAAAAATAATTTTGTCAGATAATTTATGTAACTGGCAACTAAAAATGAAAATTCATTTTACAAATGTAATGTGTTTCTTATTTGTCATATTTGAAAGAACTTCTTTTAAGGCTGTATATAAACATGTTTTTAAACTTTAGTTATACTTTGATTTATTTAAAAATATTTACTGCCTTCACTTTCTATTTATTGTGCTGAACTCTAGTGTGAGGGGTAAAACAAAGAAACATGCTTACAAAACATTTAAACACAATAAATCATCAGTTCAAATAGGAAAAAAACAAAATCATATGTGAAGGTATAATAAGGTCTAATTGATATTCTGGCGTTACAAAACACCTCTAATGTAAACAAGTTTAGGATGAAAACAGAAAGATGTGACCTAATGAGTGTAAGGAAATAGAGGAAAAATGGAGGAAAGAGCATTCAAGGAAAAACTAACATTAAAACATCAGTGTGCCTAAACCAAAAAGAATGAGAGGAAGAATATCATGCTAAATATAACTAGTAAGGCTGCACTTAACAGCTTAGATAGGTACTTCTATGCCATGTTAAAGATTATAAATTTCAATCATCGAAGGATTTTAAGCAAAATTGGGACATGATCTGATTTACGCTTTAAAGGGTATGGAGGTAAGAAGGATAGTAGAATGAATTGGACACTATTACCCTATGTGCATATATGACTACATGACCAGTATAATTCCACATCATTTACAACTAGAAGAATGAGAAGTTATACTCCATTTTTAAAAAGTTACAAACCAGGCATGGAGGTGCATGTCTGTAATCCCAACAGCTCAGGAGGCTGAGGAAGGAGGTTCTCAACTTCAAAGCAAGCCTCAGCAAAAGCGAGGCACTAAGCAATTCAGTGAGACCCTGTCTCTAAATAAAATACAAAATAGGGTTGCGGATGTGGCTCAGTGGTTGAGTACCCCTGAGTTCAATCTCCAGTTAAAAAAAATTACATTAAATGTGAATGATATGTGTGTGTGTGTATATATATATAA